CGCACATACCCACCACCAGGACAACTGCAATTTGCACACGCCACGACCCCATGACCCACATCGCGTTTGGGGGCAAAACAACACAAAAAACAGCAACATGAAAAAACCACAACGAATGATGAAGAAAAAACAGAGCAAAGAAATCTGTAACATGGAGCCAAACAACAGCAACATGAGGAGAAGAAAAGGGAACCCCCAGAGTAGGCGAAAAGAAAGAGTTGGAAGAAAGCTGGCCCAAAGACAGAGGAACAAACCAACGAGGACTTTTCATAGACTAATGCAAGACCTGGCACCACGCGGAGTGCTCCTCGGAGCTGCCACACAGTCGTGGCTCATTTGTTTTTCCAGAAACACACAAAGAAAGGTCCAAGAAGGAGCCACCAACGGCAGGGAGTCGAAGAGGCTTGTACCCTGATGACTGGAGACTGATTTTCAGCTACATAATCTATCAATTCAAGAGGAATCTTACTTCAAATTTAATCAATCCTCATTCCCCATAATGTGTAATTATCTAGTACTAACTGCACTGCATCTTATGTCTTCGTTGCTTACTCTTCTAGGGTATCTCATTCGCATATTAGTCTGCCATTGTGGAAGTCAAGACAAAGGACGCAGCGTCCCAGAACCAACTTCATCTTGAACTGAGCCAAGTCGGGGTGTGGGGGTTGCTCCTTTCAACAGATCTTCCTTCTCCTCCCTTGGTTCTCCCCCTGAAATAATAAGTCATGTTAACCGAAAAGCGTGCGTCTGTCTTTTAGTTGCTGTTATTCTTCTCCGTCTTGTACGTTTACCTCCACCTACCTCCCGCCGCCACCCAACTTCTACTTCTTGTGGCAGCATCAACACACAAAAACTTTCGCGCACAATCAGCTGCATTTCAACATGGCACTGCATCATTGTTGCCACTGTTGTTGCAGCTCCAGCTGCCATTGTTGCCTTTTGCTTATAATTTACTTTTACTTGTGGAGCGCGCGCGCTTTGGCTTTGTGCAATGAGCACGGAGCGGAGAGGCGTGTGTCGTGAAAAATATGTATTTGTGCCTTCCCCCACCCAACCAGACTCCTAGCTACGACTACGACAATGGTACGCCGGCATTAACCATAATAATTTTCATTCAAAGAATGAATGCTGGCATGAAGCTGAAAGCTTGCCACCGGGACACGTTCGTATGGCCAGGGTTTCCTTTTCCTCCATCTCTTTTCTCTGTCATTGTTAATCAGCTGCTGGTAAACAAAAATTGCCACAAATGAATGGAGCAGGGCATGCATTATGCAATTGGAGTTTACTCATCTGACATGTGGCCATGCCCCAACCCAGGAGGGCTTAGCTCTGTGGCAGATGTGTAGTTACTACTGCAGGCAACAATTTTCTTTCTCCTAGGGCCAATAAATCAGATAAATTGGGTTAAATGTACGACTAGCTTGCACGTAAATCGAAGGATTAATTCGCGGTGTATTGATGTTATTTAGTTATTTAATTTATTAAATGTTTGTAGATTTATTTTATTGTCATAATTTGGTTCCAATGATGCTCTTTCCAACCTCGGTCCTCTGTCTAAGCCACGCTGAAGTAAGCGCGAATGTCCCATCTATCCATGGGACTCCTGCGCACAAGCCAATTGCGTTTACGATGGAGACGTTCCAGAGGCTGAACGCTAGTCTCCAACCACTTCTTGTCGAAGCCCCGTTGCTCCGTCAGATCCACGCTCCCCTGGCCATAAAAACATGTCGGAGCGCGAATTGGATACCGCCCAGTCTTGGTCCTCTTTGAAATGCTTCGCAGCATCGGGAACACCACACGTTTTAGATCCATTTTCAAGAAAAGTTTTGTATAAATTTTGCTACAAATTTGGAATATTGCTTGTCGAGGGAATGAAAGGTTAAGTCTAAGGCACAAACGAACATGAAATACCGTTGAAGTTTCCTGCCAGACTTTTATGATTATCCAAAAAATTGATTGAGATCATGTCCAAATCCCTTTCGAAACCCCATTTCCAGCTCAAACCCATCACATCATCATCAACATTCGAGTCGAGTAGCGGCGGTCGAAGCGAAACTCTTTCAAAAGAACTTTAACTGCTGATTCCGCTTGGCGGGAGGGGAGAGGGAGGAACTCAATTAGGCCGCGTGCACTCGGCCGGGATTCATTCGATTCACTCAATTCGATAATCGATTAGATTGCCCATTTTTATGAGCAGCTGGCAAAAATAAAATTGCTTACCAGCCACAAAAGTTGGCCAAGTCATAAATACATACTTACATACACTCACACATATACGAGTGTGTATGTGTGTGGAATGGAAAGTTTCGCTCTGCCATCATCCCCAACCCAAAATGCAGTGCAGTTCCCCCCTGAAAGTCGGGCCACGAAGCTAAAATAATTGATAACAGATTATGTTTTACAATCTAAGCAAAGAGCAGGTCCTAGCCAGAGAATTTTAATGGACGCATGTAGCGGGGCACACGTACAGAGCACACCCGGATGCGGCAACGTCTACGGCTGCGGCTATGGCTACACGACTCCTGTTCCGGCAGTGAGTTACCCGCAAAACGTTTGCAAAACTTAATTATTTCGTTTTGACCTTTTTGTGGGCCACACACGAGCACTGGACCAAGAGACACCATGGGTGGGGTGGGGAGGTAGAATGAATAGAGAGAAGAGGTCAGAGTGCAGAGAGATGGACAGTTAAAAAAGTTATTTATTTTATGGTCAAAAGTTACTTTGGCCTGTTTTATGGCTGCGGAAGTCAGAAAGGAAACGAAATCCTAGCCCCACAGTCAACGAACAGTGCTGACAATCTAGCTATTTTTTAGCTAATAGAGTAAATGTTGGTACCCAAGAAACTGGTGCATTTAATATAAGAAACAAAACAATATATAATGCCATTGATCAGAAATAAATCAATAAATTAAGCGCTCACCTTTTCCCGCTCCACTCTATTTTTCGGTCTTCTTCATCTTTCCGTCACATGGAATTTTGTTGACCTGCGCAAAGAAACGGACGAAACGAACGAAACTACGCATACGTAACGGGATCGAAAAACGGATTCCAATAAGAACACAGATTTTGGGCACTTTCATTTAGGGTGAGGCATTGGGACTGAAGTTCATACACACACATAAAGCGAGAGAGAGTCAGACCAGCACGATTTCGGTTGCCTCACCCTTATTACGATACACTTGGAATGAGAGCGCTGACGCTCGCTCTTTTCTTTTTGCGCCTCCTCTTCTTCATTGCTCTTTTTACATGATTGCGCGGGAAGGGACACAATTTCGCGACTTTTTTGGCATATTTTTACACACACAGCAGGATCTTGTAAAAAATGATATACGTTTTACACTTCACTTTCACATATTGCTGCATATTTATATTGCCGATCTGCCATTTTGCCTCTTTGCTGCCCTGCAAATGATTTCGCATTTTTTGCCCATTAAATGCTCAACCATTGTACTTTATTTCAATGCATTTCACTAAAACACTCTTATTGGTAATTTTTCATACACTTTTTGCACTTCACCTTCACATATTGCCTTATACCATCGCCGATCTGCCATTTTGCTTCTTTGTTCTTCTCTGCTCCTCTCCACTTTATTTCACAGCACTTCACTTACACACACTTCACTCACACACACTATTGGACATTTTTCATATACTTTTTGCACTTCACTTCCACATATTGCCGCATACTTCCATCGCCGAGCTGCAATTTTTCCTCTTTGCTTCCTCCGCTACTGATCTCGCCTTTTTTGCCAATTTATTGCTTAATAAGTGCACCACACATCACTTTACAGCTGCACGAAACTTTCTTCCGTTTAATTGCCCGAATTTGACCGATTTTACCGATTTTTCGCGGACCGAAACCGAAACCGACTGACCACGCTGACAATTTTTTTATAACTGGAGTGGGAGTGGGAACTGAGAAGCTGCGTGAGAGGCAAGATGCGTCGGTGTTGGTGGCTTAAGAGGGTGTCTCTAATAGATTTTTAGCTCCAGAGATCTAGAATGTTCGCTCTCTTTGGGTAAAAAGAGAGGAGAATAAGACATTTTTGCGCTGCTGGAGGGCTGCCTTGATTCTAAATCAATGAAATCGTCTCGGAAAAGACTTCTTTCCCGTGGTCTTGATCGGAAAACACTTGCAAAAAGTGTGGAAAGTGTAAAGGGAGCTAAATTTATAATTTATTTTGCAAAAACCAAAATCAAAATGTGCAGTGTTTTCGTTTTCTTTTTTGTTCTCTACTTTCCTTGTGACAGCGTGGAAACTGTGAGAGCGGGAGAGCAAAGAAACGGTGAAATTAGACCCAGCTCATTAGTTCTGTTTCTTGTATGAGTGAATAGGAAAGACAATGGATGCGTAGTTGTTGGTCGCTCCCCTACTCTCAAATCGAATGCAAATTTTTTGTGACGTGCGCTTTGACCTGCAGTTTTCTGGAATTTTGTGCCGGCCGACAAGATCAGTGAAGGGTGACTCCAAATTTCTGGAACATTCTTCATTGACACTGCAGAGATTTAGATGTTCGCTCTCTTTGCATTCTGCCAACAAGTAGTTAAGAGGAAGGAGAATAAAAAGTTCTTGCTCTGCTTTAAATGCAAATTATAGAAATGGTCGCGGAGCACAGTATATGAAGGCTGATTGATTTTTTTTTGATTCTCTGGCTCTCCGTGTTCTCCGTGTTTCCAGCGTCTACAGCGACAGAGTACAGAAAAGTAACTGTAAAACAAAATGACGACGTGGGAGAGCGCAGACAAAATCAGACTTTTGCAGATTTTTCCATAAATATAAAACAAAACGCTATTTTATGTTTTCTTTGCATTTCTAGCTTCTTTATTTGCGGCCGTCATCACTGGCAGTCCCGTGTGTGGCTTTTGGAATTTTCTGGAGCATGCAACATAAATCAAAAAAGGAAAAAGATTATAACTATGTACGTATGTACATATGTATGAATGTACATGCATACATATGTAAGTATGCATGTAAACGTGAATCTTTGTTAAATTTTAATTGTGACCTCAATCGTCGTAGGGAGCAGAGCCAGCAGCTCACTTGGAGTCGGACCCAGCGCGAGCTGGCTCTTTGGAAGCGGACCCAGCACGAGTTAGCTCCTTGGAGGCGGACCCAGCACGAACCGAAAGAGCTGAGGACCTGTTTTTCTGCTCATTGAAGACGACAACCGTTCCGGAGCGCTTGCCAGGATCCTCGGTGGGATCGGTTGCCTGGGCGGTCTCGGTGGCTTCTGTGTCCGCCTCGGCGTCCACGGCATTAACAATTGTATGGTGGGAGGCTGTGCTCAGCATGCTCGTGGCTGTCGTCAGGGTACCTGTGCTCCTCTTGGCCTCCAGCAGCTTCAGCACCGAGTCCTTGAAGAACTTCTTCTCGTCAAGCGGACGGCGGAACAGGCCGGAGGGATTATCAGGATCGAAGACAATGTTGGGGCGTATATCCCCGTCAGTGACCAACACCTTGGCCCCTGGAATCGGCAGGAACTTGAACAGACGCTTCCGCAGCTTCGGCATGAAGGTGACCTTCTGGTGGTCGGGGACGTGGAACAGTTTGCCAGTGATCTGTGCAGAGGGCAGCAGCACGGGGTGATCGACGAGACGCCGCTCCTCGGGCAGACTCTCTTTGATGGCCTCCAACTGGCGCGCAGTCAGCTGGAGCGGACGGTCCGCATCCTTCCAGCGCTCCTGGCCGCTGTTGAAGGCGATCTTCTTGTTGTTTTTCAGCTGCTTACGCACCGCGCGCTTGGCCACGCAATTGTAGACGATCTTTGGCACGTACTGAGGCACTGGGAAGTTGCGCACCGAGATGGGAATGTGCAGCGGATTGTTCACCATATTTATGTACTTGGCATCGGCAAAGAGATTGAGCTGCTTCTCCGGCTTCTTGCCCTCCTTCTTGGCCAGCACATCCTTCTTCGGCGGCTGCGGCAAGTCCTTCTTGGACATGACAAAGACGTGCTTGTGTCCCCCGCCCTCGACATGCGCCCAATCCGGCTCGCAGTAGCGTTCCTGCTTGATGCGTTTGTACGGCAGGCGTCGGAACTTTAATCGCTTCTGTTCATCAATCAGCAGCTGCAGGCCCGGCTTGCTGATCTTGCCCGATGGACAGGGACAGGCTCCCGCGTTGCGGATTTTGTAACGCCCCGGCCCCGGCTCGAAGCTGATGTGGCGCCTCAGCATCAAGCTGGGCTTCGTGGGCACACATGAATGGCGCAGAAACAGATGCGGATTGGGGGGCGCCGACTTCTTCACGCGTGCCATGTTCTTCTGCACTTCGTAGATGCTCGTGTGGGTGTCAGACGGCCCCGGATCAGCAGGATTACGCCGGCAGCCAGTCTGACTGCTGACCATAAAGCGGGTCGTGGCTGGACGATCGCGTGCATCTAAGGTACGGAATCATTTGAGTAATATCTAGAGGTTAAACTGCTGCTTCTTACTCGACAGAAAGACGCCCTTCTGCACATTGTCCCGCTTGAAGAGTCGCTCAATCTCCGCTGACAGGTCGTAGAACTTGAAGGGCGGCGGCTTGATGCAGACGCGACTGTGATTTGTGTGCGGCTTGGCGAAACGCGTGCCCTTGGAGCCCATCTTGCTGAGGTACGGCACCGGTGGCACGCCATAATGGTTCGGCGGCAGCTGCCAGTCCTTCCACGTGGTCATGTTGCGATCGATGCGGAGGGAACGCCGCTCCGGAAATGGATTCTTTGGCTGCTTGTCATAACCCGTAATGCGGCGATAGTGATCGAAGGTGGCCTTGCTGGCGCCTTCGCCGCGGTTCTCTGTGGAAGGAACAGAACGTTGGATTTATGTGGCAAGCTTCCCTTGGAAACGCTTACCCTTCTTGCAATCCTGATTGTAGTGCTTGCCAGCCAACTTAAACTGCGCCTTGACCTGCGGCAGTGTGTCCTCCCTGATGCGATTACCTGTGGGAGCGGAAAGGATAACACTGGGGCAAGGACCGCTCGTTCGACGACCTACGTGAGAGCATAAAGAGCGGCACACTCATCCGTGTGGCCACAAAATTCTGCCTGTCCTCATTGTTCAGTTTTGGGGGCTTTCTGTGCATGGCGCAAAAGTTTGATTTTAATTTTGTAAACTGTAGAAAATATGTATAGATATATATAGCTTAAATTTGTGTTCTTTATAGCTAAAGTCAGGCATTACAAGTGTCAGATGTGCTAGGATTACTAGGGATTGCTTCTAGAGCTCCCAAAAGGCCACCGAAATGCAATATTGGGAGACTTTTCTTGGCATTGTAACATGAATTATGCGTAAAAGATGATATTTTCATGCTGTAAATTCCATTTGCGACTTAGTGCACATAAACAAAAGCATATTGTACACAAGTTGAATTGTTTTTGTTGCATTTGCAACCAATTCTTTATCAATAAACAATGAGAGAAAATACATCAAAGCCATTCCAAAAAGCCACTCCACTCCATACGTTGGCCAAATAATTTGGTTACACAGTGTTTGTGTGTGTGTGTGTGTGATATATATATATATATATACATATATATAGCTGTATGTATCCTCAACATTTACACAAACAGAAGGACTGACAGACAGACAGCCACACAGTGGCCGCATAATTAGCGTAGCGAAGCGAACTGATTAACTTGCATTCAACGATTTTCAATTGAATTTCGCAGTTGGTTGATTTGTGCCGAGAAAAAAGGAGGGAGAGAGTGAGAGCGATCGAAACAAGGAGGTAGCAAGACTTCAGAGAATAGAAGCTAAGGACACCCTGGACAGTGGGGAAATTACTCTATCTCTTTCCCATTCTAGCGCTTGTCTCTCTGAGAGCCGAAAGAGCGTGGTGAATAAGTATGAATTCTCCCCCCAGTGGCCCTGGACTGGCTTTTTGGATGTCAGCTAGAACGTTGTAGAGGAAGAAAGTCAAATAAGTTTTTGCTGGCCAAACACCTACTCAAACCCATCATACCCTTGCTCCCAGAGGGTAAGGCCACTACAAAAAGTTGTGGGAAAGCAGTGCGATGGCGACGGAGATGGCAATGGCAATCAGCCATGAAGGCGGTGCAGGCGGCTGGCCCCCAGGCTGGAGGTGATCCGGAGCAGAGGAACGAAACGAAAAGAAACGAAACGGGGAATGGGACTGGGAATGGGCACTGTGACTGCGGCTGGGAGAAAATGCGAGTATGCAGCCGGGCAAATGATGAATGTGAAATGTGCCATTAATTAATTTGATTAAATGCAGGCAATCAGCCAAGCGCGGAGAGTCGCCCGGAGGCGCTGCAGTAACTGTGGGGTAAAGTGGAAGCTTACCCCCAAAAACCAAACGAGAGTAATGCAGCAGTTAAAGTATCGTTTAAAAGTGCAATTTTTATTTATTATTTATCAACATTTTCATAGGTTTTAATGACCTTTGGCTTGAGATCGCCTGCCTTGCCGCCCTTCTTGCCCTTGTTGGCCTTTGCCTCCTTTTTGGCCAGCTTAGCCGCCGCCTTGGCCTTCTTGGCGGCCTTCCTGTCCGCCTTGCGTTTCTTGGCGAGGTTTACTGCAAAGCAAACAGAGTAAGAAAATTACCATCCAACCCATAAGTTGTCCCACAATCCACGCCCACTTACCCTTGACTACTTGCGCCGTGGCCAGATTGATGGGCAGCGGGGCACACTTGAAGCCCGCTGGCGGTGCCTTGCTGAGTCTTATGAACCGGAAGCCGGTGGCATAGAGCATGCCGAGGCAGGCCTGTGGCCGGATGCGCGTCTTGGGCCAGTTCGTAAAGTACAGATCCTTCCGCTTCACCTCCGGCATCTTGACACCCTCCGTGTCGCGCCAGTAGTGCATCACGCGGCTGGTGCTGCGATTCTCCAGCTTCCAGCTGTGCCACTTGGGATACTTCTGGTAGCTGCTCATGCAGCTGGGCTTGTCCACAAAGAACCAAACGTTCGCATCGGGATAGTACTTCATTTTGGCGGTGGTTCCTTAGTAGATTTTGGTACTAAAAATATTTAGAGGAATTTTGAGAAAGCGAAAAACGATTTTCGTCTTCTGTTTTGTTGAGAAATGCTTTGGAAAGCGAATTTGGAAATTTTGGATGAGAAAGAAAAGAGTTACAGGCAAGACTAAGGCTATTTTGATGAGAGATTTGCTTTAGAATTTTGGAAAATAATAGGATTTATAGAACTGAAACAGAACCAGAAAAGTGTACATCAAAATATAAAATATATTTTTCATTCCTTTTCCACCAATTACATCATTCCGTAGGTCTTCCTTCAGTCGAATGCCTTTGATACAATTTCTTCCCAATGTTCCCCCTATTTTCTGGTATTATTATTAGCAAAGTTCAACCGTTTGGGATCATCTTTATTTGCATAAATATCTAGCTCTTGTATAGATGCCATGGGAACCATTTTAAAGTGTCTTGCAAAACTTTTAGTTAATCCCCCAAATGCAGTTGCTTGTTTTTTGTTGTTTCTTAACTATTCTTCTTTGGAAAAGTTCAACAATTTCTGGTTAAATGTCGGAATGCCTGATGGAATTGAATTTATCGGAGATTGCAGGTTGAAGATTGCAGGTTGCCGGCTGAATGTGGCAGGCAGGCAGTTACGGCGACAAATGCTGTAAAAACTAAGCAGCACTTGCCGCAAAAAGTTGAGCTCATTAGGAGAGGAGCAGCTGAGTGGCAGCAGTGTGGCAGCATCGTGAGTGGCCGCTGCGAAGGGACAAAAGGTGATGTCGAAAAACTGTCAATTAGGTTTAATTATTTTATGCTGCAGGGGCACACACACACACTGGCAGAGTCGTCTTATGCAACCTCAACAAGGTGGCAAGCCCTCTACGACTCCCTCTTTCCTCCTCTTTTCTGTGTGTGTGTCTCTGCTGCTAAGCAAAGTCAATTATCCAAGCAGCTTTGATGCAAGTAATTGGCATAATGAAATTTTCTCTTCAGCCCAGCAGCAGCAGCGGCAGCGGCAGCGACAGCAACCGCAAAGAATAGAAGCCGCAACATCAGAGCATCCCCACACGCTGTGGCTGTGGCAGTGGCAGTGGCTGTAACCATAACCGTATTAGCATATCAAGTGGAGGGCAAAAGCAAAGCTGCTCTTCTGTCTCCTCTTTTTTTGGCGCTCTCTTTTGTTGGCTGCGTATTGAGTAAATATTTAAGCAGTCCGGCAGCTGTCGCCGGGCATTAATGGCATACATCAGGGCCAAAAAACTTGAGCTGCCGCTGCAGGCACTGTCCCAAAGTGCAAATATGTTGCGGCCAAAGCCGCAAAAACGTTTAAATATTTTATAAGCCAAAGGCACTTGCCAAGCGACTCAGACAAGGACTCGGAAACGACTAACTGCTGCTGCTGTTGCAGTTACCAAATCGTCAACAAGCGGGACGACAAGGATACAGCCACACACACACACACACACACGAGCCACAGTCCAGTGGGAATGGGTAGCCTTGGATTGCGATGCGATGCGATGCGATGCCAAAGGTGCGGGCATATTGGTGGTGCAGGGAACTTTGTTGGCATCTTGGAGCTTCCATCTTGTGTTTGTCTTTGCCGCTTCTGATGCGTTTACTTTGACAACTCTGCCAAGAGTCATCAATGCTTTGAAGTGTGTCTCTGTGTGTCTCTGTGTGTGTGGCTTGCTTGGACTTTATCCTTGGAAAGGATATGCCCACAGTCGACTATCACTCTGCTGTTGCTGCTGTCCTGCTCCTGCTCTGTTTTTCGGCCAGCAGCTCGTTTGGCATTCCCCTAATGCCATGCATTTTCGTCGGTTGCATTTCAGGCGGCGACGGCAGCGGTGCGCAACGTGGGCATGCTGCACATTGTCTTTGTCGGTTGTTGTGGCGCTTCCTGCTGGCTTTGGGGAGTGGCTTGCGGCTTGTTGCATTGTTCCCGCTTCCACATGAACGACAGCTTTCCACACTCTTTCTTTTTTTTATTGCCACTCTGCTGCTTATTATGGCGTTTTCTTTTGCCTTCGCGCCGCGAAATTTCCATGGGGATTGGCCGCTGCTCCCGGAGTTGATTTCACACTCATGTGGAGACGCGAAGGAGTTGCGCCAGTGGAGGTTGTCCACAGCCAAAATTAAAGCCCAAAATTATCGCATTTCAATTGAGTTTTATTTTGAGCAAACATTTTTGAAGCATTTTCTCTTCGATCCAAGGAACCAAATGAAGGTTTACCCTGCTCCTCCCCTGCCACTCCTCCTCATTGCTGCATAATTATGTCGCCATGGAGCATCATCATCTGGTTTATACACATTTTTATCGAGGCGCATTAAAAGGCTTTTAAAATTTATTGATATTACCGACTCTATTAAATTATGCCCCCACCCCCAGACCACTCCTGCCCCACCCACGACTATGCGTTGTCTGCTGACAGCAGCAGCAACAACATTTTACTTGTCGCCAGTGGCAGCAGCTCCACTGCCGTCCGATGACTGACAGCAAAAATTGGCAATGCCAAAAGCATCAACGACGAGCAGCAGCAGCAGTCCCGACGATGCGCCGCGCTGTGTGAAAAGAGGAGCAGATGGAGCCATAACTGGAGGGTGACTGCGTGGGGGAGTGGGTGCAAACTCAATTTGTGTGAAAAATACTTTTAGTTACTGTGCATATTTTAAATGTAATACACAAGCAGAGCAACGGCAGCAGCAGCCACAATGGCAGCAGCAGCAGCGACAGAAGCAAGAAGAACAGCAACCGGCAAGCAGCGTGATGTGAATTTTATATACCAACAAATATGAAGAGCAGGAAGGAAAGGAAAAGAGGAGCAGATGCGACAGTTTTGGTACCCTAGGCGATCAATCAGTCATCGATGTTGATAACATTTCTTAAACTGAAAGCAAAACAGATAAAAAAAACTGATTTTCCCTGACAACCAAGACATATTATAAACCTGATACATGGCTACCCCAGTGCATGCCAAAAAACTTCACCAAATTGTCATACCCTGCCTTTGCCTAGGGTATGTAAAAATAATGCTTTACAGTGTTCGATGGGAGCTGAAAATGGGATGAATTAATGCATAAAGAGTGGCAGCCATTGAAATCAGCTTATAAGGCATACACACAGAGAGAGAGAGAGAGAGAGAGAAGGAGAGATAGGGAGAGTGAGAGAGCGCGCTGCATACGTGGCATATGATTGATAAATTTGCACTTTG